ACGGTAAGAGTAAACCTTTTCTCATAGGAAGAAAACCTTCAAAGGAAAGTATGTTTATATATAATTGCACCTTTTACAGGATTAAAAAAGGCAAAGTTCTTAACATGAAAAAAAGCATAAAATAAAATATAGATAAAATAAAAAAAGATAAACAGCATAGATCCAACATTAAAGCATAAAACTGGTTTAACAACTGGTTAAAAGCCATTCAGTAAAAGTGGGTTTCAACTGCTTAAAGGAATGAATAGAGTAAAGAAAGGGCAAACCTGAAGACAATGCATTCCACAGTCTGGGGCCAAAGCTCTAGAAGACAGATCCCTGTAGGTCCTGAAATTAGTTTGTGGAACCAAAATATTTCTTTTTCCAAAACATTGAACATTACAATACTGAAGGCAGGATGAAATAAAAGCAATGATAGTTCTTGGCTGAAAGAAGCACTTTTTAATTAAATCACAAAAATGACTGTCTAGTGACTTGTGAGAATATGCTTAGGGGACTCTGTTTAGAAAATTAACAGTTTGGCAGATCAGCTTTGAGCCTGTTCATGTCAAAAAATTAACAAACAAATGCAAAATTACAGATTTGAGTAAATAAAATGATGAACAGTTGTCTCTGTGGAGCCTAAGCCTATGGCAGCATAACTAAAGTGATAGATCAGGATAGCCTAAAACACCGTAACTATAAGCTTTATCACAAAGGAAGGTTTAAGGCCTAGCCTTAAAAGTAGACAGAGTGTCGCTCTCAGTGACTAAAACTGTTAGTTTGTTCAATAGGTGAGGAGCCTGATAACTGGCTTCCCAGCAGATCTGGCTTCCCTTGTACTTTTAGAAACTCTAGGAACTGTTTGGAAACCTTTGAGAGTAAAGTTCTCTGTTAGGGATATGGGGACCATTAGGTTTTTTGTTTTAGGTTGGGGTTTTTTCCAAAAAAGTTCACCCAAAAAAAGTCAAAAAACAAACCAATATACTTTGTTTTCCAAGTTTGAAGACGTTTCGCTTCCCACTTAGAAAGCTTTTTCAATTCAAAATGCCTGGATTAGCATTCAGTTACAAGCTTTATAGAGTAGCCCAACAAAGCCTTGTTATGGGTTGGAAAACATGCAAATTAAACCAGACGAAAAAATCCACCCCTTAGTAATGGGGAGTCATTGAGGTCGTTGTTGGCCTGAAATACACGATACTGGCCTATGCCTCTGAAAAGGGGTTTGTTAGGGTCATTGTTGGCCTGGCTGAGATGTTTTGGTCCCCTGCAAAACCCCTTTTTATTAAAACAGTATCACTAAACACATGTCTGGATTAGATTTTTTGTCATTTGCTGTAGGGTAGGGTAAGGTACAAGAGGAACACAGCAGCATCTTAACAAAATTAATTTAGCAAGCAACATAAGTACATAATGCAAACTAGCAAAAATAGCCCTTATTGAGTAGAAAACAATGATATAAATATAAAGAAAATGATGCCAAAACAATATGAGAGTCATATACTGTATGCTATATATGTAGTTTAGATTTAATTGATATAGTGCTGCACATAAAAGAAAGACAGACAGAACTAGTGCATAGTGCTTTCCTGGGTGTTGGAGATGGATGACGAAGGGTGTGTGAGGCAGGGCCTGGGGTATAATTTCCTTCCAACATCTCATGGCATAATACAGGAAACTGTGGTGGAAATTCTTTTTGCCTGCTTACTGTGTAGTTTCCTTCCTGACCTCTGGAACAGTCTGTGTTGATTGTACGTATATGTCCTTGCAAACAATCTGCTTTCTGGGCAGGCATCACATTTCTGTGACATCTGGAATCAGAACTGATGGAACTGTTTAAGGGAATGCTTTAGAATGTGTGGTACTTCACAAATCTACTTCCTATTATTTCCCTTTTACATTATTTATTATTATGTCTAATAAACATAATTTTTTACAAACATGCCTTTTAAAACTTTTGCTGATATATGTCAGTTGAAAAGTAACATTGTTCCAACATCTAAACAATGATGATTAATTAACTGTTGCATGTTGTAACATTAAGTTTATCTATTATTTAGCCTGCAATAGGCTGCTGCGAAAATATGGTACCTGTAGATTTTACTGTGAATTCCTCTGAAATACAGCTCGTATAATAGATAATAGTAGGTATGATAATCATGATTCAAAATCTAAACAAAATTTAATCCAACGCAACTAACTGCTGTTGATTCAAAAGTGACTTAATGTCAAAATGCCAACTGGGTTGTTTCTGTTTAAGCTTTCTTTATATATATATA